AAAATAATTATAGAGAAGACATACAGGTTAGACACATTAGTTGATGAAAGAAGAGCTTTTAAAAAGTACAGTTAGGAGATATTAATAGGGAAGGCAAGCTTAGAAGCTGTGAGGCTTTATTTCATGATGTAAAGACCTGTTTCTTTAAGAACATAATTCCAATTCCTAACTAGTGTGTGGGATTGGCATTTTTTTATGAAAGGATACAAAATCTGTTGAAAAGAGTATCGGATATGCTTCCCCCACAGATATTTAAATTAATTTGATGCATCAATTTTATGCATTATTTACTACGCTCATTCATTTGAATGGTACCATCTGTGGTATGTCTGCATAAAATTGATTTCAGTCTCACTATGAAGTATTTGTTGAAAATAAATCTGAGTTTACTTTGGAAAATATTAACTGTAGAAATCTGGTAAAAGCTGTACATTCAACCAAGTAGAAGTTACCAGAGAATTTATAACCAATGATGTTAGCCTAATATTGGCTTTTAAATACCAAAGAGCAGAGTGTAAGATATTAATGAAAACCTTGTTTAATGTTTTCCAGTAAAGCCTGTGCTGGGAAAATAAATAACAAATAAATAAATAGATGATAGATAGATAGATAAGAAGTTATATTCATTGCATCAGGCTGTTATAAATTTTATGACAGGCTGTTAGCAAACAATTCTAATGTACTTTATAATCTTCCCTAAGACATCACAGATGTCTGGACCATATTACTGGCACATAAGTAGTTGCTGCTGCACAAAGACACTTCCAATTTCATGTAATTGCTAGTTCAGGTTTTCCTTACCATGACTGATACATAGTTACCAAGTCTTTCAGATGCAAAGGCATTTTCATGAACTACCAGCTTTGTAACATAGTACTAGATATTGAAACTTAATCTATACCATTATTTTGTTGAACTAAGATGTGATAAATATTCATATTCATAGAGTATCTGGAAACTTAAGTTTGTTGCAGAATTCCAGGTTCCTGTTTGAATCTCAGATTGAGTCATTCACAGCTTTCTCCATGTATTTAAGTCCCAGGTCAGAATCGGTGATAGCTGTAGGTTCTTTGCTCTGCCTTATACCAGAGCAGCAAGTTCCTTGTACATTCAACTTACAGCTTAGCAAAATATGTTACAGACATTGTTCTAAAAAGAAAGCTTTCTCTATTGAACTGCTTTGTCTGTCTGCCTTGTTTTGTCCTCTGTGTTTCAGGGCTATGGAACAGAGGCGGCTAAGCCCGTCTCTGCCCAACAGGCTTAGATTTTAAACATGCCTCCAAAAATACTGAACTCTTCCATGAAATAATATTAAAATTAGCTGAAGAATGCCTTCTCAGATTAAATGGCTACAGTGAACTGGTTAGTGCTTAACAGCTGCATGGTTGGATAAAGATGAAGAGTTCTAATGTTCATGTTGGATCATACTGATATTCTTTGATATAGAAGCATATAACCTAAACTGCATGACTTAGCAGAAAGAAAGGCAGCTATTAACAATAAGACCTTGACCTCAGATAAAAAACTGAAAGGAATGAGCTAAATTTAGCCTTTTTGTCCTTGATAATAGTTCCTGGTATTGTTTTCTACCATGGATGAACTTTATAATACAGTCTTACTTTCCCATTTAACAAACTCTTCTAAGTTTCCCTTTAATTAACCATTTCAAAATTTTGTTTATATTACTGGAAAAGGATAAAAATATGTGCAGCAACATGTCTCAACTAGAAATCATTAAAACACCTACTCAGCTTGCTTTTGTTTTTGGAGTAGTATGAGGTCCTGTAGGACAATAATACCATTCACTACTTCTTCTGACTTAGGATGCTCTCCAAGTTTGGGGTCTATAGAAAGTAAAAGCCAGAGGACTGAATACATCAATTCTCCCAGTAGCCACACACAAATAAACCAGAGAAGGGAACCCTAACTATGGTTGGATCAGCTTTTGGTGCATTCTTAGGATCAAAGGGAAACTCTTCAAAAAAACTTCCCAGAAAATCTTGTAACCAGTTCTTCTGAGATAAAACTGCCAAAAGGGAACAAGAGGAAGATATTGTCTTCCTACTGGGAGCAAATCTACTTCCCCTCTGTTGGAGATTGTCATTGATCTTTGGCTATAAGAGTCTGTGTCTCGAAAAGCAGCAGCATAACTGATATTCATGATTAGAAGGTGAAGTCTGCCCCTACAGCTACTGGGGTACTTGATGATCAGCACTGTTCAGGGTGAGCAGCCATGTCACATAATCACAGAGAGAAGGGAAAGGTTTCTTCTCTCCCCAGTTTGCATCCATCTCATTAGAAAGGGAATAAATACAGAAAAGATGAGTAAATATGGATGAAATGTCTCTCATTATCAACCCTAGAAGCACAATACAAAAGCAGAGTCATGACAACTATAAATATTGAAAGATTCAGTAGGTGCATGTTCCCTGTGCCTAATTCCTTCTAGCAATCTTTCCACATTAGCCTGAGAAAACATGAAAGCATCCATAGGGCTGAACAGAGGATACCTTAGCAAGTGAGAAAAGTTACCAGGTGGTAAGAAGCCAGAATACATCAGTCTCTGAAGAACAGAGTTTGAGATTACTAGAAGATAAACTCTAGGAAGGGGGGATTCACAAAAGTACTCTTTACTGGCCTGTACTCGACCCAGAGGACTCAGAAGATGACAGCTGACTTCCATGGGAATAATTTTAGTGTCTGGGTATCTGAAGGGGTGACTCTTACTAAAGAATTTCCTTCAGCGGAATCCTAATGGGAAAAGTGTAAGGTACCAAAATTGTTTGTTGGATTTTATTCTTCTTTGCTAGATGACTGCAACCAAGTATAGCAGAATCAACTATAAGCAGGTTTACTGTATTAAAATGAGGAATAAGCCAATCCAGTGACTCTAATCATATAAATATTTTGCTCTGTAAAAGCTGAGTAAAAAAAAACTCCTAAGGGATAACAAACTCAAAATGTAAATGAGGAGGATGTTAACTGGAAAGGAGTAGTGATAAGAGAAATAAAAGTAACAGTCTAATACAAAATGCATGGTTATAGTACAATTTCATCATGCACAGTAAGTCTATTGGCATCAGACTATATAAACAAAATTCCTGTTTGAAGACAGGAACTCATGAATTTTATAAAGTGCCCTTGAGATGGTGAGCCTTCTCTAAAACTTGTATTCATATATGACATTTTTAAAGAAAGTTTGAAGGAAAAGGACCAAAATGACTTCAAAAGAAGTCGAAAGTATTTATTCAGTTTCATTAGGAAGGTGTTGGGGGTAGCATGTTAAAGTATCTTCAGATATTAAAAAGAACATTAGGAGTGAAGAAAGAAACATTTATGCTTATACTCTTTAGTGGACTCTAGTGCCATTTTTGGAGGATGAAAGGCAAACTGGCAGGAACATTGCAAAAACATAATATGAACTGCTCCAGATCATACTTTTCAGTCCCAACTAGATTTTGAAATAAAAAGGGCATTAAATCATAAGTACATTAGTAATATGTAAAGACTGAAAAATTCCTATTGAATCTATTAATTTGTCCTAGATTTAAATAAGAACTAATTGTAGGAATGCAGGAGTTTCTGCTTTGTATCAGGATGAAGACAAAGCTTGTCTGAGGTGCCTTTAAAGAGACACCACTCTGAAATTTCCGCAGCTGAGCACGCACATGGGAATTGGGAATCCAGTTTCAAGACATGGTATAAAGCTGACCAAACAGACGTTTAGATCAGGTTCAGTAGGCTTCTAAGTGACCTGGACACCACGCTACACTGATCAATGTGGATTTTCACTGTCTTGTCTCTGCCATGCTCATTTAAAAAACATATGAATCCTAATCACCATCTTTCAAAGTCAAGGACAAGCTCTGCTAGAGCTAAAAGAATATTATCATTTGCTGTATTCCCTCAGCACCTTTATCATAACTTTTGAAAGGGACAGAGAAGTAGATAAAATACAGTTGTTTAACAGTTCCAGTGGGAAGGGCTGAGATTCCCTACCCAATGCATATCAGTATTTTAGCACGACAGGTAGAGTAGGGAGCAATTCCATCAGGATGTAAGCATTAATACATATTACGCTGTGATATTTTAAATTTAAAAAAACATACTTTTAAAACAGTGATACTTTTCTAATTATGCTGCTCTGCTAAGATACACAGTATTGTAAGAAATCAAAATGGGTACATACATATAGGTATAGATGTGAAATGAGGTCCTGAGAATCCTGAAGCCACTTGTAAGATGAATAGCTGACAAGAAGCTCAAAACTCTAAGAACACAAATTGCCTCCTATCACTTGGTTTATCTTGCCTTCAGAGAAGCAGGATTTTTGCCATTTATTTATAAATAAACAGGGTCAAAGAAACCCCTGCTTTCAAAACTTTTGCCTATTAGGACCTGTGTACATTACGGTGTTTCACAGAAATGATTGATATTGCACTGGTAAGTCAGTGCAAATGTCAAGTTCTAAGTGATCCTTTTAGTATGTCAGACATGACTGAAATGGAGAGGTTTCTAGATTTCCAGTTACTTACATTATGTTTTCTAGCACATTTTATACTTAGTATTAAATTCACTGAATGTACTTATTACAAAAATCCTTGTGTTCCCTTGGCAATAGCTTGCTGCTTCCCTTTCCATTTCAGCTGCACTTACAATTTTCTGCTCCAATTCTGATACTCCAGCATGTACTCTCCTGCTGCCAGAAACAGAATTGGATCTTACCAGCTGCCTGTAAGGGTTTATACTAATGATTTATCCAAACAGTACATTAGTCTAATTTAGCAACAATGCACCATCTATCTTTTAGCATTAGAAGTATTTTGCTAGTAATGCATATTAATGTCTTTGTTGTGTTTAAGTTGGTGTGTTAACTGAGAAACTATGACCCACGTTTTAAAAAGAACATATATTAAACCAAAGTAATTTTTAGTACCTTTTTAATAGGCAAGTTTAAGTAATACAATGACCACAAATCTAGAAGCTGACCTTTCATTTAATTTTTTTAAAAAGATCGAGGTTAATTTAACAATGTCACATGAGTAAAATTCCTTAACAAGTGTCAACAGTGCAGAGGTCTGGGAGGTATGAAAGACACGGTGTCCTTGGATATCCCCAGTTTCTTTCCTTCACAAGGTGCGGGAAAAGAAAAAAGGAAAACAGAGCAACTGGGATAACTGATATGCGGTAAAACATACTTAGATGTTGCAAAGAATTATGCATGACAGCAGTCAAAATAGAACCCATGTGCATTAGTATCTGTGTAATTTTTCGTACGATCTCATTAGCATCACAAACTGCAGACCAATGGGATTTTGATAGCCAGCCAGCCATGCATGTTTCAATTATCCTCCTCTCACGTAGTTCCCAGTACTTTCCTTGTATATCTGTGCAAACTAACACAGTATCCATGAATATTTTTAAATTGTTAACATCTATAAACAGTATATTTAAAAACAATAGGCAGACAATTCAAGCTTTTCAAGGAATGTGGCATTTATTGCATGACTAAGCTAGCAAATGCATATTTGAAAAGAAAATAGCTTCTAATCTAAGTATTCATTTGCTGATGAATTAAAATCACCAAGTTATCCAGCACAATTCAAAATGAAAAAGCTGACATATCATTTATTGTAAAGGCCACAGCTATAATAGGAACATCATTGTTTCCCTTTCTGCTGGTCCCACACATTCTTTTTAATCTTGATTATTTGTCACCCTGTTAGGGACTTCTTATGGTAATGAAATCCTTTTGTCAGTGATGTAACTGGAGCCTTTTGCTGCATTTTCCCTTCCTACGTAAGTTACAATTGCAGTTACAAACACTGTGGAGGTTTCTTCTGAATCATACAATTGCAGATTGTTCGAAGGAGACACACTTTCCTGGCTGTTGCTAGGTGGCAAATGCTCTTAAAGATTTTGCAGGCTAGAGATTTCTTCAAACCTTTAATGCTCCATATTTACTTTATAACCCACAGGAATGATTAGAAAAAAAGAGAGATCCAAACCATTCAGTGCTAGGATGACAGAAGATGTGAAAGAGATAACACACTTGGAGTCAAAGCTTAATCCCATCCCTAACTACAGGTCAGTTCAAGACTTTTATGAGGTACGATTATTGTGTATCTGCATGTTGTGAGGCTGCTCATGACTTCTTTTAAAACTAGTGTGTCAGCTCCTGTTTAGAACAGGGTCCTTGCTGTAATAAGTAAGCCTCAGCCATAGTCCTCTGAAAACTATACATGTATGAAAGAAGAACTTCACAGACTGCAAGGAAAACAAGTCCAAATTATTCCTTAGCATCTAGGAACTTATCATCTAGTTGATTTTGTCTGATAACTTGCAGCAGCACTCTTCTGAAGAGTATATTGATGCATTGATAAATCTATACAGTGTTAGTCTGAAAAAGGTCCTGTAAGCTACCATTTCTAGGCAATGGTTTTATAAAACTGCACATTAATTCCTACTAACAGCTCAGGATGAAACTGTATTTTTTAGTTGTCTCTTCTGAAATAAGATCAAATTCATAGCTAAAGCTAAAATGATGAAACTTTTCACCTTCAAAAGCTGTCACACCAATGTCAGTGTTAGACTCACATCCATATACCACTAATATTTATTAAAGGACAGCACAAGGAAATGCTAAATAAAGCAGAAAATACCAGGCTTGATTGCAGAACAGCTTCAGCTTCTCTTTTTACATCATACTGTGTAAAAGTCACAGTTCTCTGCCTATCACACAGACAAGACTCTGTGAAGTTCTGCAGCTGGAGAACACCAAAATCTCTGACTAGCACAATACTTGTTTCCTCCTATGTGTCTCCCTCAGAATCTGTCACTTATTCTCACGAGTTGCTGTGCTTTCCTTCAGCCTGCCCTTTTTTCATTTATTCCTACTCCTTACATTTGGCCCCTGTGCCAGGCTCCCAAAAAATAGTTCCGCCCAATGTATGTGAAGGGTTCAGAAAATTTGCTTGCTAGTCTACAAATAAATTCTCCAAAACGTATGAAAAAAAAAAAAAAGTTTTCAGAAATCTTTTCTCCAGCTAAATTTAGGAAAACTGTACAAAGACTACAAAAGCGATTTCTCTGACTGCCTCACTGCATTTACGTGCATGTCATTAAATTTCACCTTTGTGAGCCAGCCTGGATTTTCTCAGCAAAACAATGGCAGGAATTACTCTGGTTTTTCCCCTGACTTTTTCTCTTTTTCTTTTTTTTTAGGACAAAGCTATGTCATTTCTTAATAAAAATGAAATAATGAATCATTCTGAGACAACACCTGTCAGAGAATCACACCAAAGTTTTGAAGTTCAGCACATTCACATACAACCAAATGCATGGGTCTTACAATGGAAAGTCTTGGGCAACTCTAGCAATATCCTTTGGTTGAGATATACTCTTACCAATAAAATCTCATATTATCATTAAAAAAGTAAAATATCACAGGATTGGAAATTACCCCCTTGCTCTTCCCTATCTCAGACATGCTTTCTGCTACAGGTTTAGGTACCTGCACAGGTGGTTTGGATACAAAACATCAGTGAAAAGGTAGCATACACAGGAAATGTATGCTTCATGTCTGTACTCTCAAAATTAAGCTACTCATTACAGAAGTCTCTTGATGGTGCTAGGATTTATGAAGCACACTGGCTCCTTACACTTATTGGAGAACTGCCATGAGTAACTGCACTTTTACATGCTCTGTAAAAGAGGCAGTCAAGCCACAATGGGTTATTAATAGCTGATGATAGAAAAGGGTCCCTCATTTTCTTTGTGACTGTCACAGGGAACAGAAGTGTTTTGGACAGGTACCACATTTGGTAGCATGGCCAAATAGCTGTTATTTGCTGAGGATTTTGACAACTACCACCTTGCAAACTCAAAGGAAGCCACTGTTGAAATCACCCTCTGGCTGTATTCAAATACAGCCTGTGTGATGCAGGATGCCTCTATCACACAGGCATCCTGGCTAAAAACATTCAGAATTAAAAAAAAAGAACACTAATAGTAGTCCTTTGGACATGTCTATGCATTATTTTTACATCCCACTTCTTCCTCTTCGTTGTTCCTGTAATAACTGTTGCAATCCCATTAGGTATTAGGGAAAAAATCTTCACTATGAGGGTGGTGAGGCACTGGCACAGGCTGCCCAGAGAAGCTGTGTCTGCCCCATCCCTAGCAGTGTTCAAGGCCAGGTTGGAAGGGGCTTTGACCAACCTGGTCTAGTGGAAGGTGCCCCTGCTTGCTGGGGGGGGGTGTGGGGGGGGTGGGGGGGGGTGTGTGGGGGGGTGGAACTAGGTAAACTTTAACATCCCTTTCAACTCAAACCTTTCTACGATTCTGTGACCATGAAAATAGTAATTCACAAAATCACAAAAATATATAGTCACAGTCTAATACAATGCTATCTATGTAAACAAGGTAATGTTATCTTTGAAAAGTGAAGTGTTTTACTATGGGTTACAAAGTAAACATAAAAGATTGGTTTTATGAAGAAGTGCAATGCACTTTGGAGTTAATAACCACTAGTAATCAGGATTTGATATTTCAAGCAATGCTTGCCTTCCATCTTTTGACATTTCTGAAAACCCTAACATTTTTAGTTACCTTTAAAATTACTGATTTTACAAATTGCCTACAAAACATCCTCACCGAAACAAAAGAAAAAATACAATTTTGCAAAGTTTTAGAGAAAACTGGAGGTAAACAGGGGAAAAGTTTAACCTTAAGAGTGGATTTCTAAATTTTGCCTGGAAAGATGATTGATGCACTTTCCCCTCCCACACTGCTCTAACTGTAATCTCACCTGGAGGGAAGAGAAGGAGCAATCTGACACTCAGCCCACTCAGCTCTGCTTTCCAGACTGCAGCTGGTAAATAAGAAAGCAACAGAGGCACTGCTTCTTCTCACCCCTGGATATTTGGGATGCTGTCTATGGGAGATAAAGAGCAATTACCTGCTCTTGGAATTCAAACTCAAAGTGTTATCAATTTAGAGAATTCCTATGTTTTATCTGATTCATTGCAAGCATACACGGAAAAGTGCTCATTATCAAAACTTACTGAAAAGCCCCCTTATCCCATCAGCTGGCTTTTACCACTGTTTCGTTGCTCTCCCTGCAGTTCCTGTCTCCTAGACCTGGCTTTTTGTGGCCAGAAACTGGTAAGCTCCTCTCCACAGCACAGAAGTTCAAACCCATCTTGACTGCTTAAATGGCATCTGCTTTACTGCATGTGCCTCAACAGCACACATGTAGCAACTGTTTCCAAAGAGTTAGACACAAGGTTTCTTCCTGTGGAAAAGGTTTCTGTCCTCATCACTGACCTTATATCAGTCAATATGACCAGACTAGCAAAAACATTATTTAATCTGCTTAAGTGTTACCCATCTCATTTTGCCTTAAACAGACCAGGGAACACACACATCCTAGACGGAAGGTATGAGCAGGTGCTAGCTAGTCCATCAAACTGAGACTCTCTGGCAGCTTCCTCAGACAAGCCATGGTGTGGGTAGAATAAGATACACTTATTCATTAGTACCTTTCATATCATTCCCATCAAAGCTAAGAAGCCAGCACCAATGATCAGACCCCTAACTACACATAAAAGCCCAAAACATCCTTCTCAGGAGTACTGTCACTGTGGGGAGTACTGTGACTTTTCAGGAGTACTGTGACTGTGGGGGGCACTACCTTAGAAAAAAGTCACAGTAACGTTTTCTCCTGCGAAAGGTGCTTAATATATGGAAGACAAAGAGGAAGAGCTAGATGAGGCAAAAATGGCTTACTGCCTCTGTGGGAACCTGTCACCAGTCACAGAACCCAAGGTTGTGGAGAGATCCTGGGTAGAGGAGCAGAAGGTGTCACATTCTTGAGTGAAGTCTAGAAACAATATGAGGAGGAACAGATTGACACGTTCATAACACTACAAGGATATGAGTCACTTCCTTCCCCTTGACCACTGACAAAGTTATGAAGTTAGAAATATAATCCATTAAGTATTACTCTTGTCCTCTATACTTCAAATGTTTTTCAGATGCAAGGCAGAGTGAAACAGTATCACTCTATATATAGGTTTAGTCTCTATATATAGATACTGCCATGGCCAGTGGTCCTCACATCCTAGAGGCAAGAGGGGCATTATTTCTGAGGTAATGGGATATTGCTTTTCTAAATCCACCACATGGGCTGAAAGTGATTGCATGCAAAATATCCTAGTGCTGTGCATTGCATGGTTAAGGTGCTCCCCCAGAAGTATGTGTTGGCATGCCAAAGGTGTGGTTGCAATCTATAGCACAAGCTTACTCAAATTATCTTAATATAGTTTAAAAAGCACAATTAAGCTCCAGGTTATCATGTTTGAAGATCTCCTCAAGGTGACTTCAAAGGTATTAGTCTGCAGCATGCATGTATTAAATTACAAGCATGGCAACATGCGTTTTATTTGCCTAGCACAGGACACAGAAGCATAGCATGTGGTTTCCATGTTTAAACTGGAAGCACCTGAAGAGAAAAAGTGGGAGAAATAGGCAGTGTTGTCACTAGCACCACCCACTAATGCTGCTTCTCTAGTGAAAACAAAATGAAAGCAGGAAAAGAGAGTGGTAAATTGGGAATAGGACTTCTGTCTGTGGCAAGGCACTTCAAAGTTCCCACCAGTTGTCCCATCTGTGTAGAAAATTATTTTTAAACTGCTATTTTTGCTACCATATTTTATAGAAAACTTGTTTTGTTGTTTTTGTTTTTTTTTTTTATGTGAAGTTAAAATCTTTAAAAGTCATCATTAACCTCTGATATTAACTCTGCTTTGATTCAGAAAATGTCATCCCTGGGAAGTCTGGTCTGTTTTTTTACTGAAGACAGGCAGCTGCCTCTGAAATTAAATGGCACAGGCTTGGCTGACCACATCAAATTATAAACTACATCTGCATGCAAGTGTGCATGTGTTCCTAGTTCATTTCTCATGCAAATCATAGTTTCATATCTGTAGATGTTGATGATGCAGATAATTTATATTATGGTAACGTTCATAAAATAGTCAACGAGTGGGAATTAGCGATTCTGAGAGAAGAAAGAACCTCAAGTCCAAGGGGGAAGAGGGCAAAACAACAGTATTCTCTCTCTCTGGTACTACTGACACTTTGCCTGGTGTACCCTTTAGCTGGTAAGATTCACAAGTCTCCTGAACCAGTGTACAGCCCTGGAGAGGCTGCAACCACACCTGACCTGGGTACTCTACCAAAACCAAGAGAACAACAGTTGCTGACAGAGGCTTAGAATCTAGGTATTCAGAAGGGAAAACACGATCTGAAAAAGAATGAAAGATGATGTAAGAAAATGAAAATTTTAGGTGAAAAAACCAAGAAGTCTCAAGTGAGCTCTAAACCACTTTGATCAAGCATGACTGGCATTTATTTTAAGTCTACACCAACATTTAGATGTTTTTGCACCATGGCAGATTTCATCCTTCAGTTCTTTCCTGTAACAGTTGATGTTACATAAGATGTCATTTTACAAAATATGAGACCATGTTGGAAACCAATTTCCTGAAGAGCTAGAAATAGGATTGTATCATTACCTTGGGTCAGACTTGCAGTTCTGGCAATCTTCTTTTTTAATAAATACAGATACCTCCATAGGACTCCAAAGGATGACGCTGTCCTTTATCTTATGTCTAAGTTTCAAAACTGTGCAAAAGAGGTCAGAAGTCCTTGATCTAACAACATCAGAAAGCCAAGGACAACTTTACAGTGCTGTGTTGTCTGAGAGCTGAGCAGTCAAACACAAAGTGAAGGCTCTTACCAGGACACCAGAGTTGTGTCAGAGAGAACAAGTCTGATGAGGAATGGCTGAGGGAGCTGGGGGTGTTTAGTGTGGAGAACAGAAGGCTCAGGGGGAACCTTATCGCTCTCTACAACTTCCTGAAAGGAGGCTGTGTTGAGGTGGGGATCAGTCTCTTCTCCCAAGTAACAAGTAACTCCCAGGGACAAGAGTAAACAACCTCAAGCTGTGCCAGAGGAGGTTTAGACTGGGTATTAGAAAAAATGCCTTCACCAAAATGGTGCTCAGGCATTGGAACAGGCTGCCCGGGAAAGTGGTGAAATAAATCACCATCCCTGGAAGTGTTCAAAAACTGTGTGGATAAGGCCCTCAGTGGTTCGGTTTAGTGGTGGCCTTGGCAGTCCTGGGGTAACATTTGGACTTGATGATATTAAAGGTCATTTTCAATATAGTTGATTTCATGACCTGTTGTTTACTAGCCCAGACCCCGCACTGGGCTTGTTGGGTCACGCACAGTGCCACACTGAGTTAACCCACTTCTGGGGCTGGTGCTGCGTTGCACCTCAGCAGCTTGGACCACAGCCAAGGAGACTTCTGTTCTGTTTCCACAGTTTTATGTAGACAAGCCTGTAGATGAATCAGACGGAATACATGCCGACTAATTAGACCAGTAAGCATTCCTATCTTTTCAAATGCAGGCTACAAAGTAGTGTGAAGTTGGTTTAGCCCATTTTAAACCAGAAACAAACAAACAACACCCCCAAATAAAAACTTAAAAAGAAATCCCGCCAAAACCCCTTTATTCCTCTGAAGTTACTTTTGCCGCCTTCTTGCAAGATCAGTATATGCTTTAGCACCAAGGATACACAGGGCTGCTGTTCCCCGAAAGCGGCCCGTGCCGCTTTCAACCGATCGCTGAAAGGCAAAAACCTTTTTCTTCCCTTCTGTGGGCGGCTAGTAGGAGAAAGGCTGATGGAGTTTAGCTTAGGAAGCCCACCACTCCTCCCAGAGGCTGTAAGTACGCGAAAAGAGGGGGGGTTTCACCGCCTCTCGCAGAGTGCGCGGCTCCCCTGGCTCGCCCTCCCTTATCCCGCACCGGCGTCACGACTTCGCGGCGGGACATGGTGCCGGGTACGAGCCCTGACTCCTATACTTGGGGGCCACCCGAACCCTTCGGCTACCGCCCAGCCTGGATGCCCCACTCGGGCAGACTCCCGGTGGGAGCTGCGGTGGAAAGGACCAGCCCCAGTTTCCGCCCCGCTCCTCCTCCGGGGTGAGGGAAGGCAAGATGGGCGAGGGGTGCCCGCTACAGAAAGCGCGGAAACCGGCGCTGCCGCTTTAAATCTCGTCCCGAGGGGCGTGGAAGGGGCCGCGAGCGGGGGGGTTTGAGCGCGCGCGCGCGCGGCGTCGCCGGGCACCCCGGCAAAGGCATCGTTGCCCCGGAGGGCGGGGGAGGGGCGCGGCGGGGGGCGGTGCCAGGCGGACCGGAGCCGAGAGCGGTCGGCGGGAGGGGAGCGGAGTTGTTGGAGAGGGAGCACGGAGGACGGTGGCGGTGATCGCGGCGGCGGGGGTCGCGGCGTGGCTCCCCCGCTATGGCCACGTCCCCGTGCAGCAGCAGCGGCGTCTCCTCGTCGTCCTCGTCGGGGCTAGGCGCGGACGCGGGGCTGGAGATCCGCACGCGCTCGGTGGAGCAGACGCTGGTGCCGTTGGTGTCGCAGGTAGGAATGCCGCCGCGCGAGCCCCATCCCCCTTCCCCAATCCCACCCTCCGATTCCCTCTCCCCATCTCACGGGGCTGCCTCTCCACTTTCCCGCCCGGGACAGAGCTCAGCCGCCGCCGAGCCGAAGTTTGCGCGCTCGAATCGCGGCGCTTCGTACCCCACATCTTGCGGGGCAGCAGTGGCTTCTCTCAGTCGCGCACCTTCCCTCCCTCTCCCTCGCGTCCCGGGCACGCTGTGCCCATGCCGGCGCCGGGGGGGGGGGGGATGGATGCTGCCCGCACCTTCCTCCTCGGGAAAGGCTCCGGCGTTCCCCGCAAGGTCGCGGTGCCGTTGCGTAACGGCCCCGCCGGGAAGGCGCTGCGGGGCTGTCGGCGCGCTGAGCCCCGCGGTGCCGCCGCGGGAGGGAGGCGAGGGGCCGCGGCCGGGGGCTGCGCCGCGCCAATTCCCTTTGCCCTGGCCTCACCGGTCTCTTGCCGGTGGTTTTCCATTCGGGAGTGTTCGCCTTTCCCCGCAGCTTGGCGTTAGGGGTGCGGGGGGCGGCCGGAGCGCAAGGGGTGTGGCGGAGCTTTGTGGTCAGAGCGGTGCAGTGATTGGAGGTCTTGCCGCACCCGGGCGGAGCACCTGGGTTTGAGAAGTTGGATAACGTGCAAAGTGTGTCTCGGTGACCCCTCAGCATGTGTAACAAAGTGCGAAATGAGTTTTAAAAAGAGAAAACAGGCTTTCAGGTTTGCTAAGTAGTTATGTGCCAGCCACTTCGATGTTGGTGGTCTTTCTTTTAACTTTTCTCCTTCCCCCCCCCCCCTTTTCTTTAGATTTTTAGTTACAAAGTCGGCATCTTATATACCCAGTGTAATGTTCCTTTCTTGCCAAATAATGCATGAAAACAGCAGTGTTTGCTGTATGGCAGATTTTGTACTTTGAACACTGATTATTAAACTTAGTAAGTCAAAACCTATCTGTTCAAAATCTTTATAAAGAATGTGTAACAGCTCTACAAAAAATAACTAGCCCTGGTGAGGTCAAGTTGTGTTTATACCATCGTAGCCCATCTGGAAACAAACTGTTGTAAGGCTTGTTTTGCATTTGTACAGCTGGGCTGCAGGAAGGGCTTGTGATGGGTAATTTTGTTTCTGTACTTAGGGTAATTTGTCTTTCTCTGTTTGGAGAAGTCAGTTCGAAGAAGCCAATTGAAGGGATTAAACCACATGTTCCAAGGCAAAGTAAAATTAAAGTTCAATGAATTTTCTGATTCTCAAACAATGGAGAAGGATAAAATGCAGAGACCACTTTTCGGAAGCATAAGAACAAACAGAAGCTCCAATTGCACAGGCTGAATTTAATTGCACGTGTTGAATCCTTACGTGTAACAGATTTCAGTGGAGGTGTGCATGTTCTTATCCCCCTGGAATACTCTTTAAGAACAGCAGTCCTGTTTCTCTGTGGATCCATTGCATGTGTAATATATGTGTTATTTCATTGACTGCAGAACCTACAACTGCATCTTCCAGAAGTGCGAAGCATCTTTCATCCCCCCTGTACAGAGTGTGAGGTGCCTGAGCGTTCGTGGACTCTCAGAGCTTTCTGTGATCCTGGTAAAGCGCTCCAGCCTGCACATGATTGTGTTCCCTTGAAGCGTGAGCACTGAGCTCCATTCTCATTCAGGCTGAAGTTGCTGATAGTGTATTAGCAGTAGCTTCCTACGCTTGCCTCATGAAATGCCTCACTTGCTGTGCTGGTTTATCAGTTCTGTCTGTACTGTTCCATTTAGATTGTTCAGTAGAGGTCTCACTGGCTGGCTGCGTTTAGGTATTTAGTCAAGAAAGGGTGTTTATGGAGTACTTAATCTCAGAATTTGTTTTTATATTCTGCAAGAGCTATGTATCAGCAGTAAGGGTCAAGAAATTGTTTTTCTGCTTGTATGAAATACACTTGCAAAGGGTTTTGTTCTTGCTGTGAAAATAACTTCACAGTTTACCCTTTTGTTAAAAGCTGAGAAGTGCTATGTGATACTTGTATACTACTGGGAAAAAAATAGAATGTTGCTACTGCTTTTCACTACTTATCTTAAGGAAACAAAAGGTGCCCTGTCTGACAAAATTGCTTTCAATTTCTCTTGCAAAGCTAAATCTAGTTTCTCTAAGCAAAGGGAAAAAAAAAAAAAGAGACTGCACTGATTCTGATTTAAATTAATGTACCCTATAAGTACATTGCCCTAATTGATGTGTAATACTGTAAATGTATGTTTGACCTTGTGCTCTTACTAGGCAAATATGAGGGTAATTTTGGTTTGATTTGTTTAATTGCACTTTGCAGCTTGATTTTTCTGATAGGCTGTGTAGTATCAGAGTGCATTTGCTGCCTCAGTGGACAAGATTCCTGTTCTCCCAGCAGGAGTAATTACTCTTGGAGTCATTACTGAATATGCTTATTTATAAATTTGTTTTTAAAACTTACTATTTACAGAGTTAAGCTAGGTCTTTGTTTTCTCCAGATCTGTTCAGACCCTGATGTGGCCGTCTTCTAATAGTGCCACAGATGACAAAAGAAGACGGCAGATAAAAGCCACGGTATTAAGCTTATTTGCTAACACTTTTTTTTCCATGATCTACATACTTGTGCTGTGAAGTGACTCATTCTACACTGTTGTGCAAAGCATGTGACATGCAGTTGAGAAAACACAGCTTTTGGGGCCAAACCCCACAGTTTTCTTCAGAATTAGTAGAATTGTCTTTGCTTGGATAGGTGTCTTCAGTTCACTGCCCTACATGTACATAGTAGAATGTTCTTTAAAATCTAGACATCTCCTTCACTGCTGCTACCTCTTTCCAGTCTATTTATGTTGGGTTTTATTTTTTATGGAAAGTTTTTGGCAACAAAAGTCAGGAAGGGTGTTTAAAGTGGTCGGTGCTGACTCATTTAACAACAAGTCATTTAAACAGTTAAGGAAAGGCAAAGACATGGAAATAGCACTTTCCAGGATGTGGCTCCACCAGGGACTTCCTCAGCTGCCATTATATACCTGTTTGATAGTCAAGCTGCAGTTTGGTATCTTCACAGCTGTAGGAGTCTGTCTGGATCTGTTCTGAGGAAGCATGCTGAGAAACTGCAGAATAGGTTTTTGTCAACCTTCATAGTCAGGTACTTGGGAAAAGTTCACTAAGAAGGAGCTTTGTCTGTAAACGTTCACAAAGGAACAGTTTTTGTGGTTGAAGGTGACCTCCAACATCCTGAGTGTAGACATGTAAGATTACAGCTAGCGGCTCAACCTGTAAAAAGCCCATTTTGTCATGGGCACTTCGGAGAATGATCATGTCCCCATGTATTACAGAATTATTTTCCATCTTCTGTTTCAGGAGATCCTGTCAGAGGTTTTGATATTGGCTTGACCTATATAGGCAAAATAAAAGCGTAAATAACTATAAAAAGCCCATTATACCAATGTTTCTGAATTTTGTTGTTGTCAGTCTTATATTCAGTGGTATATGTCTTGAGGTGGATAAAGATAGTTCTTTATTATGGTATTGTTTCCTTGCTTTCTCTGAAGCTAGCTAAAATAATTCCCATTTCAGTAAAAATTGTAGTTATATAATGTTACAGAATGTTCTGCCAATATTGTGTTTTTCCAAAAGTTTCTGGAGTTATGTGTTAGAGCCCAAAGAAGAACCAAGAGCAGATGTTTTCCTATGTATGTGAAAAGCTCATGGATGCTGTTTACTGAAGACTGAAGTTATGACTTTAGAATAGTCATACTGGATCAAGCTAGAGGTCCATATATAATCAATGACCTTTTCTCTATTTTATTTTGTCATCCCTCAGGGAATTACTGATACAGAGGCAAATATTGTTTAATGTGTTTATGAATGATCTGAATGTTGGGATGATGGGCCAGCATGTTTGACACACATGTGAATTCTCCTACGGTGGGTTTGGGGAATGTCTGATAAGCTGGAGGAGAGGGTTGCTGGACAGGGGGATAAGAAGCTGGAAAAATGACCTGACAGGAAGCTTGTGAAGTCCAACAAAGCCCTGCATCTGGGCCAGGATAGCATCACACAACAGTACAGGCTGGGATCCGCTGTCTACAGAGAACCTTTGCAGGGAAAGACATAGTGGTCTCAGTGGACAAAGAGTTGAACTCCTGAGTCAGCAATGATGGCCCGCTGCATGCTGGGCAGCTGGCAGGCTGCAGAAGTGACTCTTCCCTTCTGTTTGTCACTTGGGAGAGAGCAGCTGGAGCATCATGTCTAGCTCTGGGCTCCTCTGTACCAGGAACACTGACATAGGGGGGAGCATGCGATGTAAGTGGTGAGGTTGAAGGAAGTGGGTTTTGTTTTGCCTCGAGGGAGGGTGTAATGATCAGCTAAGACCTAGGTTTCACATAGGAAGCTAGGATGGTACTTGACTGTCTGTATCACTTTAACTGCAGTGATTTTTTCCTCTGGCCAGTTGCAGAGTTTACTGTGGTCTACAACTAACCACCTAATGGCCAGATATGGAGAAGACAGGAAGACTGATCGCAGTGGTGTATGGTGATTGGATAAAAAGCAATAGACAGAAGCTGGAACACGGGAAAGGCTGAGATTTAAGAAAAGGCCTTTTCTAATGTAATAGTGGTCAAATACTGGATGAGGTGTGTAGAGCACCTAGAGAGCCTTCAGTTTTGGAGATGTTCAGAACTAATTGGATGAGGCCCTGTGCAACATGCTCTAACTACCTGGTTTGAGTGGGAAGCTGGACTAGATAACCCTGGAAGTCCCTTTCATAATAAACAAGTGAGTTTTTTTTTTCATGGAGGTACGTATTGTAATGAGGAGATGTTGCTGCTGAGAGTAATGGTCACCTGGAACCTAGGTTTCATATAGGCAGCCAGGATGGTACTTTCCTGTCTTTAATCTGCAGTGATTTTTTTGTCTGGTGTTTTGTTTCCTGGTCAGTGTTGCAAGATGTTTGTGCAGTTCTGTAGTCAGACCTTATCTTTACTGTCATGAATAACTTAGG